AGTGTCATATGCTTTGTGAATTTTTGTTTTGCAATCATTTGTATTCATTCATTCATTTATTCATTTTCAAATCCACTTATTCTGTTTCAGGGTCAAGGGGGGCAGGAACCTATCCTCACAGATCAGGTGTAAGGAGGAAACCCCCACTGGACAGGAAGCTATTTAATCACAGGGCACATTCAAACACACACACACACACACACACACACACGCACTCACTGAGACTGGAGAAATTTAGACAAACCAATTAACTTAACATGCACATATTTGGGATACAGGAGGAAACTGAAGTACCTGGAGAAAACTCATGCAGGCATGGGGAGAACATGCAAACTCCACACAGAAAAGGCCCTGGTGGGGAGTCAGTTTCTTCTCTCATCAATGTTACAAGGATATGACATCGAATGAAATGATGTTATTGGAGGGTCTTCCTGTGACCCTTCTGTTCAAGAACTGTCTTCGTATTGTTGGTCTTTAAAGGAAGCTGCATTGTGAGCAGAACTTAAGAGATCCCTTGGACTGCATTGGTTCCATGAATAATTTTCCCTGCACTGTGATGACATGCTAGGTTCTAGGGAGAAAATAGAAGTTTGCATCTGGAAGTGGGTTAACCCCTATCTCTCCCTGTACTCTGCAGGCTGCTGTGGTGTCCGTGTTACCCATGCCATGGACACGATGCTGGCCACAGCTCAATAGAACTCTGTGTTCTCAGCATCCACTTCAATCTTCCCTCCTGATAGGAATGATCTGAACAGTTGACTTAATGCTGCTCGTTGGTATTGTTCCATCTCCTGAGTACCTGACACTGATGTCTATGACTTAAACATCTCCGTCCTCCTTCCAAGTTCTCAGGCTACTGCTGGCTCTTTCAGCTTATTCCAGTGCATTACGTGCGCTACAAGTGGTGGAGGAGGAAAGGCAAAATGGTTTAACATGTAAATTAGGACCCTCTAACTCAGGAACAGAAGAGAAATAATGTAATGGTTGGGTCTCCAACCTGAGTCACACAACTGACAGATCCGTGCTAAACTGAACCCCTGCCCTGCTAGCTGAGCAATGGACATGTGCACAATTCACACATATTTCCTTATTACGTCCTTAATTGCGATGTTGTCAGGATGCCTCTCTGGTCTACCCTGTTGACACCTGTGGCAATCACTGCATTCTCTGAAGTTTCTTAATTTACGTCAGTGCTCTCTCTAACTATTGAATCGAGGTGGAATTGATGCAAGCTCATTCCTTATTCAAAGGGAGAGTAAAAATTTTCTCAATTATAAAGTTGAAAGGAATGATCTGATAGGAGGAATAAATTTGTAAAACTGTCAACTTACTCTAAAGAGTTAATGTACCTTCAAACAGGAGAGTTTTCTGGATTTCCCTTGAAGTGCCACAGTCAGATGGGATGGCTCTCACCTCCATGTGACCTGCAGTAAGCAGAGGGAGGGACGAGTCAGGAGGTCCTGGGAGGCTGCACAGGCTGGAAGCAGCGTACACATCCTGACCTTTTCTCTCCCCAGAACTGCCCGTTGTCCAAAGAGGACGTGTCCTGCCTGAAGCGGGGAGAATTTTCCCTCTCTAAGATATGAAAATTAAAGAAATGGGTTCCTTCCAGAATTTGGGTCAGTTGTTTCCAGGAAAGTGCCGCTTTTTAGCTCTGAAGAAAAAGGTGCTGGAAGGAGACAGACTTATACAGAGAACAAACTTGGCCACTGTCTCTGGTCTTGGCAGGTAGGTGGCTCTCTCACAGTGTGAAGTTACCCTTGATACCCACAAAAGCCAAAGAGATCAGGGAACTCAAGGCAAGGGAGAGCAGAGCTCCAGACATGAGAAGAACCTACCCATGACTCTTGGGGCTTCATGAGAAAGACAGGAGACTCTATGTAATGGGGCGTCTGTGGCAACAGTTTTGTTTTTTCATTCTTCGAGGAATAGCGGGCTTTCTAGAAGTCTTCTCTACATCCCTATATGTGGTTGACAGAACTCTGACATTTTTGCTTAGTAGTTTTCCATCCACTGACCACCAAATGCAGAGGCAGGGGCTTGTCGATGATAAGAGAGACCTAGATGGAAGATTGAAAGTGGCAGAAGGAAGGAGGGGCAGAAGTAAATGGAAGAACAAGTCTTAGAGGGGCCAGACTGGGGAGGTCTTAAGCTTCTACAAAAGGCCAATGAAGTTATACATTTTTTTTCCAGCAAAAATCCTGCCTACAAGAAAGGAAGCAAACAGAGGATTCAAATATATAATTTTAAAAGACTTGAGTTTACAGAAAAAAAGTTTACATGGGATATACAAGATCACAAGGAGAAAATCAGAAAGACCTTTAAAAAATGGTAGCCTTGATATCAGCTTTAAATTAAGCTAATAATTGAATACAGAGGTCTTAAAATTACTTTAAACTCACTTATCGGATTTCAGCAAGAACAAACAATCAATATTTCTAATGTTTGAAACTTTCTTTTTTTTTCTCTTTTCTTTTAAAACAAAGACACCTAAGAAGTGCCTCAGAACAAAAACCAAGCCTTTTATGACTTCACCAAGGATGCATGAGACATCTTCAAAGAAATGCCAAGATGCAGTCCTCTCAAAATTCAGAGCCACCTCTAAAGATAGCCACAAGAAAGAAAAATTTAGACGTCTTGAGAGGTAGCAATAGTCAATATGTAAGCTTCCAATGGGAGCCTCCAACTTTTGGATTGGCCCCCTGCACAGACTGAAGAGTGTCCTGACAGGCAGCAAGCCAAGTCAGGTTCTCAGGACACAAAACAACAAAACGACAGCTGTCTTTTGAAGGGATAGGATCAATAACAAATGGGTCCCATAAGTCCAAATTTACACAAGAGAACAATTCCAACAAATGATCTCCTGATGACCTGCATTTGGAAAGGAAGAAATAAAGAGAAATTTTGACCTTTAGTTCTTGACCAGACACTACAAGCAGAAATTCAGAACTGACCTTGGTAAAAATTCTTACCTTTATTAGCAAGTTCTTTATCAGTCTTTTACCAGGACCTCATCAGTACGTGAGTCAGGTGCTTCAGGCATCCCATCTTCATCACCAAAACTATAGGGGCAGAAATAGTGTGATCTCTTTCCTTCCTATCAAAAGGGTCACAGCTGACATGCCTATAACAAAAGACAGGTTAACAAGAGAGAAGCATAACACATGTATTGAATCATAGATTTGTATAACTATGGAAGCCTTCAAAATGAAGACCCAAAGTACAGGAAAAAACTATCCCTTTTTGTGCTTATGTTCCATGAAGAATGGACAGCTGAGTAGAAATGTGATTAGATAAAAAGGGCATCATCTAATGCTAATATTCTGAGTAGGGGAACCCAGCAAGGCCCTTCTGGTCAGATACTTCTTGGTCTCTCCATGCACCATTCTTTCCTCTTGGGTATGTGGCCGAGCTCTTTTTGGAATGGGGGTCTTAATATCTGCAATCAAACAAGGTAGGTTAGAGAATTTCTTTATGGCCCATTCAGTTCTTACACACAAAGGTGAGGGAAAGTTAGAGTCATATTTTCAAATTTTATGGCTGGCTTTGGGGAAAAGGGGCTCCGTCAGGAGATGAGGGGTGACAAACAGCAGAGCAGGAGAAGGCCAGAGAGAAACTTTGCTTCTGAGGCTGCTTCTGAGACCTTCACTTTGGGGTATTATTTCTGAGCCTCAGTAGGAGTGAAAATGAGATCCAGAAAAGCTAGAGAAGAAGTAAGGAACTGTGCTGGGTATCGGAATCAGCAAGTGAATGATATGTATATTTCACTTAGGTTTAAGAAAATAAACTCTTCCAGATTTTCCTGTAAGATACTGTATCCTGACTGAATATACAAATCAGACTTATCTTCAGTATGAAGGGTGACTATTCTCCAGTTTTCTCCTGAATACTCCAAGAATTCTGCTCTTTAGATTATTATGTGTTATGGAGATTAAGGAGAGAGCATTCCCTTTTCCATTTTCTCTTTTTCTTTTTCTATTTCTTTTTTTTCTTTTTGAGACGGAGTCTTGGTCTGTCACCCAGGGGCTGTAGTGCAGAGGCGCCATCTCTATCTCCAGGGTTCAAGTGATTCTCCACCTCAGCCTCCCGAATAGATGGGATTACAGGCACCCAACACCATGCCTGGCCAAATTTTGTATTTTTAGTAGAGACAGAGTTTCACCATATTGTCCAGGCTGGTCTTGAACTCCTGAACTCAAGTGATCCACCCCCCTCGGCTCCCAAAGTGCTGAGATTACAAACATGAGCCACTGCACCCAGTCCCTTTTCTGATATATATGTAGTAATTAAGAAAATGATAACCATATATTTATAAAATAAGAAAAGCACATGTATACATATATGTTTTGTATATACACACTATATATATAGTGTGTGTGTGTGTGTGTGTATATATATATTCTAGAGGCTGGTCTGCCTGAGATTTGGGCAGGGACACAGATCCAGACCATATTAATCACCATTCTCTCTTTTTGTCAATCCCTCTGCTTCCTCTGTGGCTTTTCTCTTCCCTCCCTTTAAAGGTAGAAGGTCCTCAGAATCATGCTTAAGTCTTTTTCTCCCTCTACACTCTCTCCACACATGAGCACTTCCATTTCTGGGATTTTGTTTGCCACATATGAAACCACAGCAATTGCATTCCTTATAATTTGAAAACTCATGTATCCAACTGGCAACAGACGGTTTCTACCACATGTTATACCAGTCAACTTACAGAGGATATCTCTATTTTTATTTCCTGACATGTTTCAGTTTACATGCTGCCAAAAGAAATCGTCGTTTGTTCTTTTTTCTCCTTAGAGTACTTAGCATAACTGATATTAAATATTATTACTATTTTTAGTTTGATTCCCTACAAAAATCAAATATGCAAGAGAGTAGAAAATAGATTTATTGTATTTACCTTTACATATTGAGTACAACATGCAACCTGGTTTAGAGAAAGTCATTTTTACTTACATCTCTCATATAATATAATGAGTAAATAAATTTTACCCTTTATTCTCTAATCAGGTTGCAGTCAGGATAAGAATTTCATGTTAAAGGATGAACACATACAAGAAGTTCCTATAGTAAAAGTTTAATGAACAACATAAAATAAAGAATTGAGTAGATACAAGGAAAATGTTTTATTACACTAGCCACAGTGTAAACGTGCACCTGACGTTATACGAACAAAAATAATTTAAATCTTATAAATAGTTAAATAAATATTTAAATAGATAAATCAATTTATCAGCATGATCATAGTTATAGCAGGAGTGAGAGTCTTTGAAATGGCAGAATTCATGAAAGTGTGAGCTGGTGTATGAGTCAATAAGAATTGTTTTCATGTTGGACCAGGTGTTATTCCTTCCTCCTTAATCTTTCTTGCAAGTTTGTTGATAAAGAGAAGGATCTCATGATTTCTGCTCTGATAACCTCCCAGGCACAAGGGCTGTATTTCTTCTCTGTCAGATAGAGAGTGATTCTTCGGAAGTATTTCTTCACAGCCAAGGTGGAGTCCGCATTCATCAGGGGAGTTTCTCCCACCCTCTCCTGCTGCATGACACAGGCTTCCAAGTCATTCAGCTGCTGGTAGAGTTCAGCGCAGAATTTGTCTAGGAGGTCCTCATCCCAAGCAGCAGATGAGTCTTTTGTGGTAAAGAGGTTGAAGGTCTGCTGGATCAGCTCATGGAGGACGGAGATGGCTGGAGCCTTCTGGAACTGGTTGCCATCAAACTCCTGCTGGGGAAATCCAAAGTCATGTCTGTCCATCAGACAGGAGGAAGGAGAGATTCTGCTCATTTGTTTCAGGAGCATCATGGTCCTTCTGTTATCCAGGCTGTGGGTCTCAGGCAGATCACAGCCCAGAGAGCAGCTTGACTTGCAGCTGAGCACCACCAGGGCCATCAGTAAAGCAAAGGGCAATGCCATCGTAGATATTGCAGATGCTTCTGGGCTTGCTGAGATGGGTGACTCTGAACCTTGGGCTCTAGGTTTTCTGAAGGCCTTGCTTCGAGCCGATGACTTAAATAGGGAACATACTGATTTCCACTTTCTTAATGCTCCTGGGCCACTTTCCATTTCTGTTTTTGCTTTCCTTCATGCACTCTTTACATGAGTTGAGAGCAGTGTTTCTCAACCATTTGGTTTTTCATTATTGCCTCCCCCATCTTGTTCCCAGAGACTTTTAAAATATTTTTTTCCTAATTGAACCCACTGTGAAAATTTAATAACACAGATATAGTATGTATCTATTTGTGTACTATGTGTATATCTCTATACTCAAAAAGCACAAAGTTTAATCTTTTAATTCAATGCAGGTTTAAAAATAACCAAATGAAAATTTTAAGCTAAAAATTAGATTTAAATTCTATTCAAATTTAACTGAACTTTATAACTAAATTTGCTTATGGGCTTCAATGTAATTTATTTACTGATATAAATTGTAATGTATTAAATTACATAAGCAAATTAACAAATTATAAATATTATCTAATATTTATAGATAGACATTATACATCTAAGTAGTGAATGCTTACAAATTATTTGAAACTGATAAAGCCTTAAAATTTTTTAATATTTTTATCGTTTATTTTTATTATACTTAACTTTAAATTTTGCTGCATGTGAGAAAATTTTTAACTTCACTAGCTGCTAGATACTCACCTAGATATTGTCAAGAGTTTTTTCTTCAATGCTTGACCTAAATATTGATGGGTTGAACAACTTCAGTAGAATTTTTAAAATATAAATTATTTATATTTCATTTCAAAGCCCATAACACAGACAGAAATACTAAGGATCAAACAGAAGCAGTAGCTATATGATGGCCAGTGACAAACCATATGTATGCAGAGAACACCTCTCATGATATAACTTTTAGTTCTAATAAATCTTGGGAAGTACTCCAATCACAGCTACCCATTATTCACAGGTTTGTAATGCTGAACTTTTATACCTCCTATGTATCGTCCATGAACTCAAGGTCAGTAAACCCAATGGAGAAAGAAAATAAAACTAAGGAATAAGATTTTGTTAAATAGGGTTGAGCTTTGAAGACCCACAAACCATTTAATTATGTAAGATTTGTTCCCATTCCCAAGAACTAACTTCTACACCCTTGAGAGTAGTGTCATACGCAATGAGAATACACAATTGAAAAAACATTCTCAATTTGATTAAAAAAATTTTTTGGCATGAAAGTTCAAATTTCCAAAGTACCTTCAGAGGTTCTTTGTTGATTCCTAGTAAACCAAAGGAAACCATCTTTGTCCTAAATGCACATAATAGGATGTAAATGTAGTAACATAAATAAGTTGACAGTTTGTTTTCCATAGCATGCCAGACACCAGATACCTTTCTTTCTCATTTCATTTCTGTAGAAAGCAAAAGTTGTCACTTTTTGCATCCTAACGAATGGGGACAAAAAGACAACGCAAGTGGCCGGGTGCAGTGGCTCACACCTGTAATCCCAGCACTTTGACAGGCCAAAGCGGACAGATCACCTGAGGTCGGGAGTTTGAGACCAGCTTGACAAACATGGTGCAGGTTAAGGGGTGGGAAAGTGCAGAAGCAAAATGGTAGAAGGGATGTAGGTCAAAGGTAGCAAATAAGTATAGGCTGGAAGAAAAGTAATTACTCCTGGTCCACAAGTTGTTTTCAGATTTACTGAACCCCGACTTGCAAATATACCAACAGCAAGAATTTATACACAAGAAAGACACATTGTTGAGAGTACAATATTCTCTCTGGAAAACGGGTCAGTGTTCACTGCACCAAACTCTCCACTATTAGATAAGTAAACTGAGAAGGCCTATTTGTTTTCTTCTTATATTTCTAGTAAGAAACAAGAGAATTGATACTTTCAAAGGACACTTCCCTAACTTAATAGAGTTATATAATAAAGATAATGTTAATAAGAGAAATGAAATATCAGGCTGGGCGTGGTGGTTTACGCCTGTAATCCCAGCACTTTGTGAGGCTGAGACGGGCAGATCACCTGAGGTCAGGAGTTCGAGACTAGCCAGACCAACATTTTGAAACACCATCTCTACTAAAAATACAAAATTAGCCTGGTGTGGTGGCGCATGCCTGTAATCCCAGCTGAAGCAGGAGAATTGCTTAAACTGGGGAGGCGGGGGTTGCAGTAGGCCGTGCCATTGCACTCCACTTGCACCCCAGTCCAGGCAACAAGCGTGAAACTCTGTCTCAAAAAAAAAAGACAAAAAAGGAATGAAATATCTAAATTGTGAAAAGTCTTTATTTATTCAGACAGTGTTTTTAGAACTTGCATAATGAATGCTCACTTAACCAAAAAAGAATACCCTCGTTTTCCACATTTACTGAATGCGTACCACGTACCTAGTCCCATTTATTCACTGGAGATATCACTGATGAAAGCACACAATGATAGATTTTACTATTGTCCCCATTTACAAAAGAAAAAAAAAAAAAGAAATACCAGAGAGCTATTAAGTTATGAAGCTAAGCTATTAAGTTGTGCAGCTACAGTTTGGATGCAGAAAATTCAGCTCTGAAGTCTTACCTCTTACCTCTTACATGCTCTCTGGGAATATTTCTGGACATAAGAACCGGAGCTGATTTCTAGACCAATCAATGTTTTGCTAGTAGAGTCCTGTGTACATAACGGCAGGGTCTTTCTCTTCAGTTTCCATTTGTCTCCTTCACTGAAATCTCCCATTTGTCCATGCCAACATGTTACAATTAAATTGGGCCCCACTTTACTTACACATTATATTCTAGTTTTGTCTTCTTGAGGATACGCCATCATAAGCACGAACATATTTGTAAAACACGTTGTTCACCCAGTGAATATATTCATCAACCCTGTATATTTCTGTCAATTTAAAATTCTACACAGTACTATTCTTTTAATCAAATATCCACAATACTTTAGATTTCCACCTGTATAGCAGAAATTTAAGAAAGAACAAGTCATTGTCAGGCTAGAGACATGAACTAAATCAGAACTAAACCAATGAGCTAAGGCTCAGAGCTCAGGGAGAGCACACCTGGACAGGTTAACTAAAGGGGTTATTAAAGGTGTGGAAATCGAAACACTTCTGGAGAAATGAGGAGAGTCCATGGCATTAGAGGATGAGGACTGAGATGACAAAAGACCCTGAGTCATCTGACTTGCCAACTGGTTGATGCCTTTTACGTTGTAGGCCACCAGAGTGTGCTGCAGTGTTGATTGTACTGCCTTAATTTAAGGATCTGGTGAAGAAAAATTTATGCTGACACTTATGGTATAACAGTAAGGAAGGCTTTATTTAGAAGTATTGCAACAGGTGTTGAAACTATCACGATAGGTGTATTAGTTCTTGCATTACTATATAGAAAAACCTGAGACTGGGTAATTTAGAAAGAAAAGAGGTTTAATTGGCTCACGATTCTGGAGACAATATAGGGAGCATGGCTGGGGAGGCCTCAGGACACTAATAAACATGGCAGAAGGCTAAGGGGAAGCAGGCATGTCCTGCATGACCGGAGCAGGAGGAGAGAAGCAGGGGAGGTGCTGCATAATTTTAAACAACCAGATCTTGCAATAACTCACTCTTACCATGACACTACCAGGGGGTGGTGTTAAACTATGAGTAACCACCCCGTGATCCAATCACCTCCCACCAGGCCCTGCCTCCAACACTGGGGATTGCAATTCCATGTGAGATTTGGATGGGGATGCCGACCCAAACCATATCAAGAGGGGAGAGAAACCAACTGGTGCTCAGCTCAAAAATCAGCAAAGACAACCTGGGGTTTATACCCAACAAGCAGAATGAGGGGGTCAGATAGAAAGTCACTAAAAGGAGACATCAAAGGCAGGGGGATCATTGCTAAACTGAACATAATTCTTTCTAAAGGCAAGCCAGGGTAATTATATATTGAGAGTGTGTGAGATGAGGAATTTGATCAGATATCAATGGTAAATCAGCTATCAAGCGTGGAAGGATTCTCATAAAACTGAATTAGTAAGATTCTTGCTACAACTGGACTTGGCAAACCTAAGAATGGACCCAAAGGCACGACCTAGTCAGCAGGAGAGTTTGTAGGAGCCTGACTAAAGTTTGGTGAAGGACAGAGTCTTTGTCAGAACCTTAAGGGGTAAGAGACAGAACTATCTGCTATACAGTTACAAAGGAGATTAAATTTTATGTCTTTTGAAAACAATACCATTTAATGAAAGATTTTAATCAATGAAACATATATTTTTAAAATTTTAATCAGTAATGTTAGGAATTTTGGAAGCCTATTCATTTTTAACTTGTATTTCAAAATAATTCTTGACCTATACAGAGGTGCAAAGATTGTACAGCGAGTTCTCTTCCCTTCACTCAGCTTCTCCTAATGTTAACAACTTACATAGCCATGAAACAATGATCAAAACTAAGAAATTAAAACTGGTGCATTAATATTTGCTAAACTAACCAAGGATAGGTAAATCTCTAACTGAATACAGAAACCCATAGGACCTAGGTATCCTGACTTCCTATGCAAAGTATGGAGAGTAAAACTGGAGGCTAGAATCAGGGCTAAAAATATATCTTCTAACTTTAGCACAAAGATGTTTCTCATCTGATTAATAAATATCCATTTGGATTGATATTTCTAAAGTTTACTGGGAATATTAAACTTCTAATGCAAAAATCAAGAGGGTAGAGTGATATCATTTTAGGTTATATGGAAAATACATAAATGAAAACATAAGTGGAAGTAAAAATTTAGAGAAATGCTCAGAAAAATGAAAACTATTTATGCCCCGTGAAAGCCATGCATAGAAAGATGATCTTCAGAGAACCTATGGTCCAAGGTTCACTCAGACCCCAGCTCAGCCAAGTCAGCAGCACTCTCATTTCCCAATCGTCCTCCTCCTCCCTTTACTGGTGTCCCAGGTGGTGCGCAGCTGTGGCCCTGTTGGATCCCCGGGCTGTGACCTGCCTCCAAACCATGGCCTGTTACTCAGGAAGACCTTAGAGATTCTGGGCCAAATGAGGAGAATCTCCCCTTTCTTATGTCTCAAGGACAGAAGAGTCTTGAGATTCCCCCAGGAGATGGTGGATGGCAGCCAGTTGCAGAAGGTCCATACCGTGTCTGTCCTCCATGAGATGCTGCAGCAGATCTTCAACTTCTTCCCCACAGAGTGCTCCTCTGCTGCCTGGAACATGACCCTCCTGGACCAGCTCCACACTGGACTTCATCAGCAGCTGGAATACCTGGAGACCTGCTTGGTGAAGGTGATGGTAGAGGAAGAATTTGCTGGGGTGTTTGGGAGCCCTACACTGGGATTGAGGAAGGTATTTCCGGGGAATCTGTGTCTACCTGAAATAGAAGAAATATGGTAACTGTGCCTAGGAAGTTGCCAA